CTTTTATTAATCTTAAACCAAAAAAAAAAGAGAGGAATTTTAAAAATGTTTAATCAAAGCCTCAATATTTAATATGAAAGAAACCAAATACTCAACTTAGTAGCTCTGCTCGCTATGGTCCGTCAGTTCCTTGAGATCTTGATATATGTATATTTATACATAGATATGTATATATATGCTAGCAAATTTGTGGCATACTTAAAGGATGCCTAAGCGAGTAATAAAAGCGAATATAATAATATATTTGGTACATTTATGTTTTCAAATTAGTTTTCTATGGCTGCTCAGAGACTTAAGTCAAGTACTTGTGATATATTTGTGGGGCTTATGCCAATAAATAAACTGGCACGAGATGCCATTGTGATGTGTGTGTGTGTTTTTTCAGCTATCTCATATGCAAACTGCAATTCCGTGACATGTGCCCTGTTACTCGAGCTCCATAAACTGCTCAGTTCTTTTTTGTCTTTTTTTTTTTAAGGCAGACTTCTAAAATTTCATAAATTCAACGAATTTGTCGCGCAGCCGTCAACGCTCGACTGAGAAATTCCGCAGTTTCTAATAAACGCCAAGACAGGCAGTTTCTTAATGTTGTTGTTGCTGTAGACTTCTGCGAAAATGGAAAAAAAAACAGGCGCAGCAGGAACAAAAAAAAAAAAGAATAGTACAGCCAGAAATAAGGGGCACAAAGCGCGCACAGTTGCCGCTAAAAGTTGTGCAACCTAAAATTGAATGCAGATGATGTTGTTGATGATAATTGCATAAATTTATTGTCAACGGCATCGGACGGTCACGCATGGCAGCAACAAGCAGAGGCAGTGCCAGAGTCAGAGACAGAGGCAGACGAAGGGCAACTGAGGAGCTGAGTGAATGTCCTTGCCTTCGTCCTACTGGCTGCTTATCATAAATGGGCGAGCGGCAGAGGGGGCGCAAGGGCGCAGCGCAATCGATAAGCACAGAGGGGCAGGGCAGATAAAAACTAAAACAAAAAATAAAGAATGTTGCACGACTACGCAATACTCTGTTTACAGTGTTGTAAAACAGCTTTAAAGAGTGACTGCTTTCTCATGAGTTTGCTGAGTGCCAGCAAAAGGTCAAGACTTTCCAACTGTGATGTCCGACTTGCACTGCGCCCTAGTAGGCGTGGCCACATTTTTCTGTCAAGTATCGCGTCGCTAGCTTGAACAATGAAGCCGAATATACTCTGCTGCAGCTGGCGGACAGAGCATTATAAGCGAAATAAATGAGAAAACGAAATATGCACAAAAGAAAACGAAATTAAAACGCAAGACGACGTCGCATTGTCAAGAATAAAACAAAATTTAATGTGCAACAGACACACAGACACGCAGCGTATGCAGCAACAGCAACAACAACAGCAACAGCAACGTTGCTGCCCCATTTCATGTGGCATTCCACACGCGCAACATTCACCTGCGACTTGCGACTAACTGTCGTGAGGGGCTTTTCGCTCTTTATGCGAGGTGTCCTGTGTCTGCTAACATTAAAAAATATGTCGATAGCCAACAACTCGATAGCAACTTCAACTGTTGATGCAACACACACAGAAACACACCAACACACACACACACATACGCACACACACATCAAACAGCTGTGCAGACATTTTAAGCAGCTAGTCATCAGGCTGTCGTCGTCAGCGGGTTTGGGCTTTCTGTCTGGACTCGGAGTCGCTTTCATGAGGCAACTGCGCAGGGCGTGTGGCAGGTGAGCAGCAGGGGGGTGTGAGGTGCTTGGGGATGTTGCTTATTGTAAGGTGCCACAACAGACAGCGTCTAGTCATAGACATATTCTGTGCCGTGTTCGGTATTTACCAACAACCTTTGTCTGCCACAACTGTGTCTTCGCTCTCCTACCCCGACTCCTCCCCCTGCACCCTGCCGTCTCTTCACACTTTGTCGACTGTCTGGCATTGGTTTAACTTAACTGTCGCCCTGTATGTGCCCCTCTGTTCAACTGTCTGTCTAACTGTCTGACTAACTGGCTCTTAGTCTGACTGCCCCGTGCTGCATTATTCGCCAGCTTTTCATTTCATTTGCCAGCAACTGCTGTGGCTACGGCATTCTTTTCATCAGTTCCTTGGTTTAATATACTTTTCCAACTAAGCCTACATTTGCTTTACCTACAATTGTAAATAAGGGAAAACTCGTTCCCAAATTTACATGAATTAAGATTATTTTGTGGTCATATTCGTGGCATAGTGTTAACTTAGCACAACACGAGTTAACATATGTTAACTAGGTGACTCCCTCTGTTATCTGTCTGTTATCAGTTCCTTAATCTTCTTCGATTAAGCAAACATTTGCTTTCCATTAAATAATGTAAATAAACAAAAGCATATTCCCAAATAAAAGTAAATCAACATTACATTGAGATCAGTCTGTTATCAAGTCCTTGGTTTAATATACTACAACATCAGGTTCACATTCAATTGTATAACTGCAATAACATATTCCCAAATTAACATAAATTAATTTTACAGTAAGTCAACATTTCCAACATGGTGTTAACATAGCACTATACGAATGAACATAAATTAACAGGCAGTCAACATAAGTTCACATTGAGTTGACATTAGCATTCGATAAAAAAAAAACATAGACTTTCTAAAATGAATGCTGATGATAGATAATATTATTTTTGCCTCAAGACGTGTGTTCACTTAGTTTTTCTAAAACACGTTAAAGTCGTATTCGTGACTGAGTTTGTTTTAATTGCTGTTTATCTTTAAGCTGATATCATTTAAGCTCTGTCTTATATCTGATTTTAAGCAAAGTCCGAATGATTTGCGACTTACGTTTAAAAAGCTGGCATTAATCAATCTCAGCACAATTGAAAAGCCGCATGGAACTTAATGTGAAACCTCATTGTAATCCACATTGTAAAGCTGTCTGGCTATGTAAGCTACGAGCGTATAATTTATACGCATGAAAAGTAAATAAATCCAAGAATCAGGTTTAAAAATTTGCTTTAAATACGAATGCGAATATTATTTATTTATATTCGATCTATTCATGCAGCTATTCACTTCCTCTTTGAATAATTTTGCTGCGAATAATTTTAATGTTATGCATAATTTAGCTTAAAGGAATTTGTTTGCCATGAACTTGAACTGTTCCACAGACAGACAGAACATGAGCTAGAATGTGAGAGGGAGATAGTGCGAGAGAGAGAGAGAGTGCGAGAGAGAGAGACTGACTTTGGGGCAACCTACTTATGCGGCAAAGTAAAAGTTTTTCAATGCCAGCGCAACTTTCAATTGATGCTTGTTGCTCTCGTGATGTTGATAAAGTTGATGCGAGATGCTGCAAGGCTGATTAAAATATGTGGCGGGCCGAGGAAGAAGAGGAGCAACTAAAGTTAAAGACGATGATGACGTCACGCGGCACAAAAGTTGGCAAAATTTAAACATTTCACTCTATGATGTGTGTGTGTGTGTGTGTGCATGTGTGTGTGTGAGCTCATAATTCAACAGTTGACATTGTCGCTGTGACTTCTCAGCGTCGTAATTAAGCATGCCACATGTTGCACCAACAACAGCAGCACCAACAATGCTGCAAAACTTTTCATGCATGTGCTTTTTGTGTGTGTGTGTCTGTGTCTGGCTGCAATTGTATTGCAGGGCACTTGAAGCAGCCGCAGACATTTGCCAGACTTTTGAGACAGCGACAGACAACAACAACAACAACAGCTACAACTGACTTTGGCATTGGCTCTTGTTGTTGTTGTTCTACAACAAAATTTGCGCTAGGTAATTAAAATAGTGAAAGTTTTACGTCAAATTGTTGGCTGCAGTTTTTGCCGCCACCCACTCAGACCCGCCCAACGGCCACCCTTTCCCGTCGCCCGCCCATTTCTCTCTGCTTCCTTCTAGCTGCGGCATTTGCCATAGCCTACATTTGAGCTTTGTTGTTGTTGTTCTTTCTTTGTGCACTATTCGAAACTTTGCTTTTGTTTTCGTAAAGTTCCTGACTGTTAACTGTTAACTGAGCTTTTGAACAAAGTGTGACCAGATTTTGTTGGCATTGCAAACAATAATGTTTATTTTAGGAGTACTTAGTCAGAGTCTAATTAAAATGATAATTTTAAATATATGAGTTGTAACGAATATTTAGAAATAGTTGAGAAATGATTTATAATATTATTATTATGAATATAATTCTTTATTTTACATATATAAGCAAAATCATTTTTACCAACTTAACCATTGTGTTGTCTATCATCTTCTTGCAGCATATTCTTCAAAATTCTAAATTTCAACGAAGAAGAAAGCGTGTAAAACTTAAAGAAAATCAACTACGAAATCTCGGCGAATCGATAAGCAACTCATTAAAACGCCTATCGATAACACCAACAACAACAACAGCAATAAGAATCACACGCTACAACTCTGGCAGCGCTCTCCGGATATTGAAAACAAAACATTCTCTCTCGCACCCACACACACAACTTCACGCACACACACACACGGGCACTCTCTCTCAAAAGCAAACTTGACGAAATATTTGCAACCAACTGGACCAATTACATTTTTATCGATAACACATTAAGATACACGATAGAAAAGCAAACAAGAAGAAGCAGCATAAAAAATGGTTACAATTTGAACAATTTCTTTGGGCAACAATTCTTTCGAGCTCGAAACAAGAGAACAAAAAACAAAAGTCACAAAAACAAAAACTAAAATCAAAAGCAAAAACCATTCAAAAACGGTTATTTTTCGGACAGCAGTGTTGTACAACGTGCTACGCAACAGTTTTCGGTGTGCAAAAAGTGAAAAAAAAAAAAATAAAAAAATCAAGCAAAATCGAGGCAAATCAAGCATTAAATAAAAACAAATTGAAACCAAAAGCGACATAATTAACCACAAGAACATCAACAACAACAACAACGTCAACAGCAAACGCAACAGCAATAACAACAACAACAACAACAACAACAACCAACGACGACGGCCTAAAAACAACAACAAAAACAACAACAAAAAACAAATCAATTGAAAATTGAAACTTATGGATTGCTGGACGGGTAACGCCCGACTGGCGAGTGTTTTAGTTTAAGGTAAGTCCACAATTAAAGTCACTTTTTAGCCAATAAATTATTATATAAATTTAGCTCATTAAATATGTTATTAATACGTTTACTGCCCGATAAACCATATTATTATAAACTAGTTGCTATTTTATGCTCTCATATGTATTGTAAGGTGTTAAAACAGCATTAATAAATACAAAACGTCAATTTTGACAAGCGATTTTGACAAGTAGTTTAACCTGACTGCCGAATAAAAATGTGATTTTCGAAGGATGTCAAATTATTTTCATATTTAAATGCGTAAGCAACAATTCAAAATAAATAATAAAAAAGTATTTATTAAATATTTTGCTCTGCCCGTTAAAAAAAGTAGAATCTGAATGATACAAAAAAAAAAAAAAAAAATAATAATAATAATAATAATAATAATGATAATAATGATAATAATAATAATAATACTAATAATAATGATAATAATAATAATAATACTAATAATAATGATAATAATAATAACAATAATAATAATAATAATAATAATAATAATAATAATAATAATACTAATAATACTAATAATAATACTAATAATACTAATAATACTAATAATAATAATAATAATAATAATAATAATAATAATAATAATAATAATAATAATAATAATAATTATAATAATAATAATAATAATAATAATAATAATAATAATAATAATAATAATAATAATAATAATAATAAACCTGGAAAATGTTCTTGCATTTCTGCTTTTGAATAATTATTATTCATTAATGCAGCTGATGACGATTCTCGCTAATTGTAATGAAACGACTCAAAAGTATAACCAATAATATTATTTATTATTAGAATATTTATCTAACATATTACTGCGCTTGCTCATTAAATAAAAAATAAATAATAAAAATGGTAAAAAAAAGTTGGGCAGACCGCAAATCAAAGCGTGGTACAATACAAATGCGGGGGAGGTATTAGACGCGTCGCGGGGGCAGATGTTTGGCAAGGGGGCGTGTCAGCTGTTGGGGCAGCTGTCAATCAAAAAGCGCTTGAGCAGCCATGACGGCTGACAGTTTGTGTGTGTGTGTGTGTGCGTGTGTGTCAGTGCTGGCTAATTTTTGGCTGCTGCAATTAACGCAGCGACACACAAACACACACACACACACATACATTTTAGCTAATTAAAGCAATTTTTGCAATTGCGCAAAATGAAAAAAAATAAAAAAAGACAATTAAATTGAAACCTTCCCAGCCAGGCAATTGTTGTCTACACACACACGCACACACACACGGCACTCACTAGTACAAACACACACATTCACACACAACACACACTCACACACACACAGCACACACATTTGCCTGCTGTTTGTGATCTTTGCATTCACTTCCCATTGTCAAAAGCAAAGCGCAGACGTCGTTCACTTCCGCTCAACAACAACAACAACAACAATTGCTGTTGCCGCCGCCTCTTGTCGCGCTCTGCCACGCCCAGCTGCTTAGGCAACGCTCGCTCTAAGCCAATCCGTTCCATAATCAAACGTTTCAGGCGCCGACCTTGGCCTTGGGCACACTTTTTTTGAGCTTTAAAAAAATAACGCGTATTTATTTATGATTTGCAAAGACATTTGCAAAAGTTGATTTATTTCATTGAATTGTATGGCATTTTATTGGCACATTTTGTGGCAGTTGCACAGTTGCTGTCTGTATCTTTGGCTGGTTCCCAGGCGCCAAATGCGTTGGCTCATTAATAAAACGTTAGCACCGTTAAATTGCAGGCAGGCAAAAATTAACGCCTAATTGATGAAATGGCAAAAGCCAAATGAAAGCTTAGGAAAAACCAAAGAGAAGCCAAGCAAACTGCTGGAAAAGGCAGGAAAAACCGAAGAAAAACAAAAGGGAAAAAAAGGTTGTTTCTATTGATTGAAAAGCATGGCAAAGTGACTGCAATGACTGCAGCTTCCAGCACAGATAACAGCAGCAACAGCACCAACAACAGCAGCAACAGCAGCAACAACAACAGCAGCAACAGTTGCTCATGTGCAATTTATGCGCAGCGTGACAAATCAATTTTGTTTTAGTCATTTTTAGAGAGTTTTGCCAGAGTTCGCTGCGTTTGTTTGTTGACAGCGAATTGTTGCATGCAACGTTCAAAGGGGGCGGCATGGGGAGGCGGGCAGCGCTTGGCGGTTTCGCACGCTCGAAACGGCAAACAGCGCCGTTATCATCAGCATAAATATGTGACATTTACGAGTAATGGCAAATGACGTTCGACAACGAACAACAACAACAACAGCGCAAATAGTTATTCATATTACAGTTGCAGTTGAAAGGTTGCAAATTTGTTGTTTGTTGTCGCCTAATGCAATAGGCCCAAAAACCGCTAAAACTCTAAATTCGGCGATCTTTTAGGCTGCACAACGAAACAAAGGGGAAACAGGTCATCGACAAGTCTATGCTGCATCTACCCCTTTGCCACACATTCCAACCATGGGAAATGCATTCCCACGTAACTTCGGTTCTTATAGTCCAAACTTTATGAAATTTTCGGTGCTTCAACAGGGCATACAAAAGTGTTTGCATACCAAAGTGCAAGGCTGTACCTATGTAAATAAGTCTTACACAAATTTGAATAAAATAGGCGAGAGGTATCCAAAAAATTACATATATTTAATCTGTACAAATCATGCAAGAGTTTACATACCAAGTTTGGTGTGTTCAGCTCTTATAATCCTCGAGCTATGATAATATGGGGGACGATATCGAAAGAAAATTGATTAACTCGTTTTACTCTGGACATAGTTGGATATAATATTCGAATAAGTCACTAGATCTTGTAGTTTTCGAGATCGCGTTCATAAATATAGACAGGCAAGGTTGAGTCGACCCAAATGTGTTGATAAAGAATAGTTTTGTATACGGTCTGAAATGCTTTCAGCTGCCTGTTACATTTGCACAGAAACATCACAATAGTTAAATTCAGTTGAATTTTGTATGACAATTGAGCTTTTTAAGCCCTTGCAGAGGGTATATACTATGTATATATATTTTGTACATACATATATTGTGTAGCGCATAGAAGGAGACGTCGCCATTTACGTGCTTCACTATTCTCAGATATCGCAAGGCAAATGTCTGGAAGGGTATTAAATCTTCAGCGTGCCCAAGATATACTCTCTTTCTCGTTTTTCATGTAGCTTTAAGCTTGGCTAACTTGCTTACTTTAACTTCGTTTATTTTTGCCTGGTTCTAAGGGTCTAGACAATCGACCAATGCATGGGCGACCGTTCCAGTCGCATCGAAGTGTGCCCAACGAGGCTGTCTGCAATCACAGAGCACCCACCAGGCACGTTTCGTGGTAAAAAAAAAAGCTGCATTTCTTATATATACATGCCTATACATATATATCTTTAATACGTATACATATACGTAATTGCTGCTAATCATTTGGCGTGCGAGCTGCGTGCCGTTGCCGTTGTGAAAGGTGGCGCCTCCCCGCACACGCAGCTGAGCACGCTTTTTCGATTAAAAAACAACAACAACAAAACCGTAAATAAATAAATAAGCAATATTAAAAGCAATGCATAAGGTAGTTAAGCGCACTCGCGTTGCATAAAAGGCCGATTGCCAACACTGGCAACAAGTGTGCGTAATTGTTGTTGTTGTTGTTGTTGTTGTTGTTGTTGTTGCTGTGAATGCGGAAGCGTTGGCATGAATGAATCAGATGAACAACTCACATCAGTTGAATGAATGTCGATCAGCACAAAAGCTGAATGATTGAATATGTTGATAAAGACAATGTGAATGCAGAATATTGCGATAAGTGCGGGCAAATTTGTAGGTGAAATATTGCCCATTCATTTGGGCGTTCTTCTCGATTCGCTTTTGTGCCTTGTCCTTAAACGTTTTGCTCGACAGGCCTTGTGGATTTAAATATAAGCTGGCAATTTTTAAAGAGCAGTAAATTCAAGCCCAAAATGCATATCGATAACTTGCCAAATTAGATATCGATAAATTTAAGCAATTTCAATGAAATATGTTAAGTAAAAGATATACAAGCGTTCTCTTAAGTCAGTTTCATTCAGGCTCGTGCTTTAATTCTTAGTTTGGGCGCTTTAATCAATAATTGTTTATAGCTACCGATAGTTATCGATATACATACATATAAATCAGACTTAAGCCCTAACTATTGGTGTTCGACAGTTTATTTATTTCTTATATATATGGATATGCACATATCATTCATGCTTAAGCCTCCATTCACAGCAGAGGATGATTATTGATAGCTAATCAAAGCTTATCGGTTAATCTAAAGAATTACAATTAAATATCCAAATTAATAGATAGAACAGCGCGTATTTAATTGAGAATTGTTTGTTTTCTGCTCATCGCCAATTAATCAATTATATTTGCATCGATAAGTTTCGATAGTTATACTGAAGAATGCAGCAAGCTTAAACAACAACAAACTAAATGAAATATTAATATTTAAACAAGCCCCTAAACAAACAGCCTCAACCCCTAGGCGAAACTCAATTGCATAAAGCTCAAGGTTGTGTGTGCGTGTATGTGTGTGTGTGTGTGTGTGTGCTTGTCCGTGTCGCTTGCTGACAAATGCACATAATGCATGGTGTGGGCTGCGTTTGGTGCTTTAGATGGTTCATTAAGGTGTCGTGGGTGGACGAGATGGCAGGGCGGGCGGATGGGTGGCGCCCTAGTGGGGGAACTGGGCGGGCTGACGCGAAGCGCGTGCAAAACGCAAGAAGGAAGTGATTAATAAGCAAGCGAAGGCAAAAAAAGTGTGTGCATAGGCAACGGCTTGAAAGTTCGCCGGCTGCTTAAGAGACCGCAAAAAGAGACCTGCACTAAATGCAAATGCAATGCCAGAGAGTGAACAGGCGTTAGGCGGTCGGGTGGAGGGGGAGAGAGAGAGAGAGGGAGAGAGTAGAGTGCAGCGCAGTGAGAGCGTGCGCATGTGTTGCATATGCAATATGGTAGCCCTAAAACGGCGTTTCTGGCGCTCT